TGTGTTTATGTATACTTCTTGCATATTCTAATGTTTCAAGTAATATGATTCAGAAAAGTATGAATAAAAATTCGGTACTTATGTATTAACGCCACAACAGCTACAGATTTGGCTGTTTTTAAGTGCCGCCAATCTACACCTAAAATTTTTGTGACAAATCATAAAACGAAACACTTTATTTAAAATCAAAGTAGTTTATCGGATTTCGGTGGACAATGGGCAAAATATTTCGCTCCAGAAAAAATAAAATTGCATCTTGTTCTATTTTTGGCAAATTCCAAAGACGCATTTTCGTAGCACTAAAAAATGGTAACAAAAATTGAAGAAGAAATCATTTTGGAATTCTTCTGATTTATAAAGCAGGCAAGTGTTAATTTTTATAAAATAAAAAAATTTACTTTTAAGTAGTTTTTTTCTTGATGATAGTTTTCTATGGAATGGTTTTCTACTTACGATTATGAATTAAAAAAGAAAAAACATGAAAGTCGTTTATTTTAATATAATGAATTTTTAGAATTTTTTGTTTTGTTTTGTATCGTAAGCATTCTTTACTTTACGTTTTTCAGTTTCTAAATAATGATTTTTATTAAAACTTAAAATGTTTTGATAAAATTACTTGTCAAAACTTTATTTACAAAATTAAATTACATAAAATTATGAAGCTTATGTATACTTTTTGCTTATTTTAATGTTTGAAGTAATATAATTCTTAAAACTATGGAATGTAAAGTTTAAATAAGCCTTTCAGGTTATATCATTAAATTTAGTCAGGCATTAGGTTTTAACTCTAATAAGAAGATACATATTTTTTTCTGTTTATTTACAAATATTTTTCAGATGTGTTTTGGATGTTCCTTCTTTAAAAAAAAAAGATACCATCTTGTTTTCGGTTGTATAAGAAAGGATATCAAACATTTTTCTTTTTTAAATTTAATAAGCCACATTAAAGAAGGAAGGATACAATGCTACAAGCTACATTAAAGACGTCTGCAGAGTAACTGAATGACGGTTCATATAGAAATCGCAGGTATGCGTCTCATACAACAATGGCCCCCTATAGTTCGTTGCGATCGCGAATAGTTTGTATGAAGTAGAAAATCAAATACGTAATTTTAAAAAAAAACTTTAAATGGTAAATATAAAAACGGATGAGTGCAGTCCTCCTGTTGCACGATAATGCTATATCCTACACAAAGTAATGATGGAACTTTAGTTGAAAATCGAATTATAGATCTTTAGCCACATGTTCTACAGTTCAGATCTATCTCCTCTCGAATTTACGTCTTCAATGAGCTCAAAGTAACACAACGAGAACATCGGACATCAAACAAAAAGGTGAATGTGTGCATGCGCAATTTTTCCGAACAGCAGCCAACGGTTTTAATGAGCATGATATTGACAATGGGACAAATACCTTTATAAATTGATGGTATGGACAATACTTTTGGTTTTTATGGTACAAATTGCTTGAAAAACCACGGACTCATTATTCTTAACCTTTTAGTGCGCAAAAAAAAATTATTATCCTGAATAATTTTCGATTTAATGAACGGATCTTCACTTTCGCAGGCAAAAATTTAATGATTCCAGGAGGTGGTCTCAAATATGCTAATTAATTAGTGCAGACGATATTTTAAGTTACGAATTCAGACAAAAAACGTACATTCTCTGAATAAACATACCTATTTTTCAACGGATTCTGATTTCTGACACCAAAAACATAGGGGGTAGTGGCAATCTGCGAAATATGGTCCCCATAGTTTGATCAGCAGAACAATTTAAAGTCTCGACCCGTGATGCTAATTTTATTATTATTATTATTATTGTTATTTTGTTGCATATTTTGCCATATCTCGAAATTTTTTGCGAGCAATCATAAATGTCAATAATACAGAATCAAAATAATAACACAGTCAAATTGTTTATCCAAAGATAATTCGTGCAAAAAAAGACGTTTTACTCGTTTATTTAAAATTCGAACGTTTCGACCACTTTCGCTCAAATTTTATACTTTGCCATGTAAAATTACACACTTTAAAATGATGTAAAAAATTGTATACCTTACAATTCAAAAATTTTTCGACTATTATTAAATAAAATAATAAAAAATAATAAATATTTAAATAAAACGTTAAATTAAATTTTTATGAAAAGTTAATTAGCTTCTATAAAATATTATTTGAAGCTATTAAATGTGAACATTTTAAAATAATTAATTTGAATAAAAAAAGACAATAATATCGGGATACCTCAGAAAGCAAAAAATAAAAAGATCTTCTTAAAAACTGATTATGCAACTGTTGATATGCATTGTAGGTATAAGCGGAGAAATTACTGAGGTCATGCAACAAAGGAGTCTGGGGGAAATGGGCCTGGACTCTCTCCTTGCAGTCGAATTTGGAAACTTGCTGGAGACGCACTTCGGCTCATCTTTATCCATGCAAGAAGTTTTTAAAATGAAATTTAGCGATTTGGAGCAATTAGTCCGAGAAGCTCAAGAAACTGCAACATCGTCCGTGAAACCATCTTCAAATCTTGTGTCCACCACAGACATAAAACTACCATCGATGACCATCAACGAACCTGTGTTTCAACTCACGAAGTTTACAGCCGGAATTCCAGTTGTCATAGTTAACATAGGAAATACGGACGTTGGAATTTTCTCTTTGTTAACGAAGTCATTTGAAAAGCCCTTTTACACATTGCAGTGGACGAACAACATTGAAGCCAATAACATGGAAGAACTCGCAGCTTATTTCTTAAAGGTAACATTTTTGTCACACTTAAATCATTTGCTTTAATTTGTTTATTTTTTCCACTACATATTTACTGTTATTATTTATATTTTTCATATATATATATTTGGCAATTTGTTTTTGTTTTTTACGCTTACATCTACATTTGTTTAAATTTAGATCTAATCGGTGATCGAAATCATTATATATTGAACTTAAGTCCAAAAAAAAATTTTAAAGCCTGAAATTCAATACCCCTTTTAACAATCACAAAAAACCGCTCGTTACTATGGGAGACTAGAATGTATGCATATTTTGGCCGATAATGGTTACTTTAAAAAGGTTGATTTAGGTTTTTCCTTGTCAGTAGCATCATCTGTTGGCGAATTTTATAATTAATTTTAAGACTTTGGGAGAATAAACATCGGTTTTTCTAAGCAGCTCACTGCCAACCGTAAAATTTCCCTTTTCATTATTCTTAATTGATGCTTTGAATACATTCAGACAAAGTAACTCAGTATTTATGCATTTCTGAAACGGCATTTATAGGGAAGAAGTTTTTAACAGCACGAAAAAGTTGCTTTTCTATTAACTACCTTTACCAGTGTGGTTTAAAGGCTAAGAAAAAAATTTAAAATATATAAGATAAGTGACATATATGGAAAGTACATCATTTTTGTTTTTATTGTTTGTTTTTTTCATTTTTGAAAAAAAACTATATTTGAACGAAAATTTTGAATTTCGTTTATTTCTGTAAAAATGGAACGCAAAAAATATATAATGGAAATAAAAATATTAAATTTTAACAACTTTCTTTTTATTTTATCCAAACAAAACAGAAAAGTTGAACAAAATTTTTTCTATTTTTAAAACATTTAAAGAAAAAAAACGGTATGAAAAGGTGGGACAAATCATTCTAAAAGTTATGATGATTAAAATGAAGTCTATTCACAGTGTGTTCCACTGAAATGAAACAATTATTTTGTACTGTGACTGGACACAAAGAAAACCAATGAAAACTAAATATGCATGCTAAAGAATTCTACATGCAAAAACATATTTACCAGGAGTAAATCCCTTCCTGCTCCACCCCCCAGACCGTAAAAAAATTCGAATAAAAAGGGAGAAGGAAAATGAGAAATAAAGCCACATCTGATTGCCTTCAAATATCTGCTACATATGACTTGAAATATGCGATGTTGCATTTCATTTAACTATTTCTGAAAGACCAATCCTTTGCCAGCGATGGCTGATCTCAAATCTGCCACACACTGAAATCGCTTCTTTTTTGTATATACAGTCATGCTGAGGAATTGAAGCTGGAAGTTATTAATGGCCTGCACTTTGCCCTGACTTTAATCCCCAAGAAAACGTATATATTCTTTTTTCAGTAGGGTTGCATACACCATAAAGGAGAATTTTCAATCTCTGGCAGAATTAAAATCTTCAAGACCTTGCGTAGTAATGATGCTAAAATCCTCCAGGTGTGGCAAGCAACATCAAAAATTGCAAGTTATACATGGGGGACATAAAAGCCATTAAACTTTATTTCGACGGAACAATTTTTTCTCTTTCTTTTCTACTTGTGTGAATTTTTTCTGTCCAAGTGGAGCTGGTAGTGCAAATTGACCAACACTTTTCCTAATATGCATTTCTTTTGCGTTTATTTACAGCACAAAATGAAGGTGGTTTTATTTCATTGAAAGACATTGTATATCTATGCGCCCATGCTCAATGTATAATGTAGTCTTTTGTATCTTTGCCCAGTATCTTAAATCGTCCTTAGTGGTTTTGTATTAGCGCAAGATTAAAATGTCGGATGACTGGGTGAGAAAAAAATATTACTTAGGCATGCATTCATGTTGAGAATTAGATGCCTTTATGATTTCTGTAACTGCGTTCTCACAATAGGGTAAACTTAAAAAATAGGGTAATTTCCAAAAACAAATTAGTGTAATAACAATTGTATTTCATTTTGCTCATAATTTGGTTCTTCGATCGATACTGAAAGTTTTCGGGTTCATACTTTGTGGCGCATTTAACTTATCAAATCCATATTATCTTATGGCTGTTGCTATGCATTAAGAAGTTAAGAGGTTAGTATTTCCATCTGACATCATTCAGGTGAATAGTAAATGTTATCTTTACGCAAATGGTATGTTTACACAAGCGCATCACTTACATTATTATTATTAAAAACACTCTATAATATATGAAACAATTATTTGTAGAGGCTAAATGTTGTATGTCTTTAAGTTTTTCATGAATTGTCTTAAAGGAAACTGTTTATTTTTGTAGTTAATCAAGCCCAAAACAAGAGGAATCTTTCACTTGATCGGGTATTCGATGGGAAGTGGTTTAGCAATCGAAATGGCCAAGCAGGATCCCCGAAGCGTAAACACACTAACCCTTCTTGACGGAACAGCGAACCTTCTTAAAGTTAACAACAATGAAATCAATTGTGATCCTGAAGTAAACTCCCTTCTCAAATTTGTAGCTCAGTTTTCTTCCATTGATAACAACACGGTGAGTAAACTAAAAGGTTATGCGTATGATGCTTTAAACACCAAAATCTGTCAAGTTCAAAAAATAATAATAATAATAATTAGTAAGACATTTTTTAAGTAACATCAAAATACGTCAAGTCTATAAAAAAGCAATAATGCATTTTTCAAGTAGCATCAAATGCTGTCAAGTCCTTAAAAAAGTATAAATGCATTTTCTAAGTAGCATCCAAATCTGCTAAGTTCATAAAAAAATAGTAAAGCAGTGTTTAAGTTATTACTCTCTAGAAATGTGATCTATTTAAATGGAAAGTGGAAGCCAAACGGAGGGAGAAACAAAATCTTTCTATTTGCACTTTTTCTAATGCGAACAAGTTTTTGTATTGATCTAATTAATAAGCTAACTGGGAGACTAGATCTCTCTGTTTCAACAACAGACAACGTTTCCTGACACACAATTTAATATTATGGTTCCTTTTGAACCCTTCTCTAAGGACTTAAGCTTGTCTAAAAAACCACAAACAGATGTGTTTTCTTTTCTTTCATTTTATCTGCACAGTTCATGATGATTTTATTTTATCTGCACAGTTCATGATGATTTTATAGTAATTCTAGTACAAATATTTTAATTTTGCTTTTGACATTTTTAGCTTTTGCCTTCATCATTAATATGTAAGTGACTAAAAAATAATATAAAATAATTATTTTTTTCAAAGGAATGATTCTCAAATATTCCTTCTTAACAAATATTTACTTACTTCATAACTTAATATTTTTGCCTTGCTTGTTTTTCAGCTGAAAGACGAATTAATCAAAGCTGAAACTTATGAACAAAGAGTGAAATGTGTGACAAACTTTTTAACCTCTATAGATAGCATGAACAAAGATGAATTGAGTGATGCCATTTCTCAATTTGTTCAGAAAGACAAAATTATTCAGTCTTATATTCCCTCGGGAAGACTACAAAGAGATATCTTACTTATTGAAGATCCAATGAAAACGCTTGCGAATGATGTCACTAAAATCAAGAGGCAGTTTTCTCAGGTATATACATTATTTTGCATCGAAATGAATTGCGTAATTTAAGAATCAACTCGAAATAAGTATTCCTTTATAGATTTTTCACGATTTGCAAGATTAATACGCACGAATTTCAGTTTGGTTAGTTTGTTTACGTTACATCAATGAGCTATTGGCGACGGTCAATGATGTTGTTCCAAACACAATACTGGATCATGCACGCAACACACTAACACAATCAAGATCGTGGGCATATGTTGATAGTAATGAGGAACCTGATCTAGATCCCCACCTCTGTAGCATCATCTCCATTGGAATCCCAAAAAATATCTTCTAAAAGAATTAAAAATCTATTTTTCCACCCCGAAGTCAATTAATTCCAGCGTGTGCAGCTTTAAGGCATCTCTGGTTAGTCTCTTCCGGCCTCCGGGAGGCCTATTATTTCATATTTGAGTGTTTGAAATCCGATGTTCCACTAATTCAGGCTTAGAGTGTCAGACCGCCATTTCTATCGCTAAATTTGGCTTCTAATATTAATATTTGTTCGCTTTCATTTTTGGCTCAAAACACCTCATTGTATTCGCCCATGCGAATATCTATCTGAATTTATATAGTTTTTAATTTCCGACGATCTGGTACTCTTTTTAACGATATCATTTTAAAATATGTCATGACTTGGGTATATGCTGTCACTATGTTAAAGATAACCATTTGTAAACGCTGACTTTGTACACCTAAATTAATATTCATGTACGTGCTTTGAAGCCACCTTGCGTATTGCAGCACATAACAGAAAGAGGCTGCGTGCTAGTCCGAAAGGTAGACGAGTAATCTGTAAGTAATTATTTCGTCCGTGAAAGTTGTGTTATTTTTGTCCTGTGTTAGTCTGTACCAGAAAAATCTTTTGGAATCTCTTTCGTGTAGACTTAGTTGTGAAAAGACTTTTTTTCCGTCACCAGTGACTGTAAATTTGTGCATTCGCAGTCTGAGTAGATAACCAATCGTCTCAGGTAAAAGAATTGGACCGATTTCTAAAGTGTCATTCAGTGAGGGCTTTCCTGGATCATGTGATGAGGCAGCGAACACAATCCTTCATTTGGTCTCGTTAAGTTTCACTTTTTTGACAGCACGATGGGGTAGGTAAAATACAGTGTTTAAGTTCGAAGGCTCTAGCTCGCAAACTTCAACGTGTCCTTGTACAATGTAGTTTAGCATACAACTATCGTATTCCTTCTTCACAGCATCATTAGATGCAAGTCGCTTCTGAAGAGACTCCAAGCGTTTTTCGGTAGTAGCTATGTTAGTAGACAAAATTGATGTTGTAGGCTTCCTAGGAAGAGACACAATTCTACGGTTTCCCACAGTTTGGTAGGTTTACTGAAATTCTCTCATAATTTCATTCTCTCGAACAGTCTTGTTCCTAATTTGAGTGTCTTTAATACCAATACTATCCCAACTCCCACAAGCAGTGCACATCGTCGTCCAAACAATCACCAGAAATTTGAACAGAAAGATGGTGAACTGATGAATCATGTTTGATGGCAGTGTGTGTTCGTGACCCATTAAGGTACCATCCAGAAATAGAGGGTACTATGGCAAGAGATTCTGTAACTTTAATCGGGGGTTCCGTAGTGACCACATGCCAATAATAGTTGCCACCAATGAGCAATTCGATGGGTAAGCTGTCGTCTCCTGGAGGGTCTGCAGGTGTTAAAGTTTTCGGCTCCGAGTAAATCGAACAACATCAGCAAGGTGTGAGGTATATCTGTTGGAACTTTCGAAAGATGTTATAGAAATCGAGTTTTTGTTCCACAAACTTGAAAGGGAAAGTTGCACACATCTTCGCATGTTTCGTGAAGTACTGGGAGATTCAAAAACGTATACGTTTAGTTGCTCATTGCTTACAATTGGGAGTTTCAGTTTGTCAATGATGTTTGCATCGACAAAGCTTTTTTGGCTGCCTCCATCCAAAATGCATCGGATTAACTTCGTTAGACCTGTGGGGGCAGGGCCAGTAACGTATACGCGTGCAGTTTGTAAATGGGTAAAGCTAGTTTTAGGTATGTTAATGTGATGAACCTCACTATTTTGGATCGCAGTGTTTAGTGCAGACGAACAAATGGATACGTGGTGTTTCTTCTTGCATTTTGTGCAGCGATCAGTGTCTTTGCGACGACAATTTGTCATTCTGTGTCCTCTATTAGTACACAAGAAATAACGGTTAGAGCCTTTTAGCTTTTGTATGCGAGTGTCATAGTCAGTTATGGTTCCACATTTCTGAGCCCAATGACCAGAAGATTCACAAAAGGGGCAAAAAGGGATATAATTATTTCTCTTGTGTTCAGAAGTGGACTTAGTATTTACGTTAAAGGCAGTAGTTGGAATAAACGGTCCACTAACATCACCTTTTATTTTTGACGTAGTTAATGCTTCTTGCACTTCTTGTCATAGAACATCATCATTTTCGTTATGTTTCCTTCAGCCAATTTTTCTCTGTGGGCATGAATGATCCACTGTTTACAAGTATCGTCTGGAAACACTCGTAGTAATTTTGGAGCTAATACACGACAGTAACTGTCAATGTCCTCACCAAGTGCGCGTAGGGCCTGCAGTCTTCTATTACATTCAATGTAGGTTTCATTTAGGGCTGTTGCCGATGAGTTGCGTACTGGTGTTAGATTTTCCAGAAAGTCCAAATGTGCTTGGATAATTCTATTTCTGTCCTCATATCTATCCATTAGGAGATTTTTAGTGGTTTCATATGTGGCAGCAACAATACTGATACCATCAACTAAACGTCTTGGTTCGTCTTGCAAATAACCTCTTAAGAACACATGCTTGTCAATAGTTGAAAGGTTTGGATTGGAATCTACAGAAGACTGGAATTGTTCCCAAAAACTTTGCCTATTTTCAACTTCACCTCCAAATGATTCTAACTTAATCGTCGGTAGTTTCATTGTGTTGAGCTAACAGGTGTCATCTGACCAGCAAGTGATGGATAAGTAACCGAATTAGTCGCCAAATTGACATTTTCAGTGCCCAAATTAGGATTATAGCTGGCGTTAATAATTGGCGATAATTTATTTGGGATGCTTTTTCTGGCTTTAAAAATTGCGCGCTCAGCGCTTTCTGTATAAGTTTCACATTGGGTAATGTCATGTTCGTATTCGTCATCCGTAAAAAGAACATGGATTTCATTATCAACCGTTTTCATTTCATTTAAGATGGTTGTTAAACGACTTACCGCATATTCTACATCTTCATTCGACGTAACGCCTGTCATGTTGTTAATCTCAGCTGGGAAACAAGTTATGTTACTTCGAATAGTTTTTCGTTTCCACTTCAATTGCGACACTTGTTCTTCTTTCGTCGCCATTTTTCTTCCGTGGAAACAAAGTTCGTGATAGTAAAAGTGTCGTAAATAACTAGCCAGTATTTCTGGCGTAGTTCCAAGTCGCTGATTCGTATGAGTATTTCAGCACCAGATGTTATTTCGCGTAAAGGTAATTAAATCACATTTTCGGTATATTTTTGAAAGAACACCATCTACCTTTATTTACAAGCAAAAATGTTGCCATGCAGAGACAACTAAGTTATTTTATTTAATCTCGTACCGGCGTGCAACAATTTAAAATAATTAATAATTGGGTATACTATAGCCTACGTCACAGGTTGTGTTATTCCTACTACATTTAACTAGTAAACAGCATTTTCTGCGAACCTGATTTTTAGCAACAAGTAAACATTAAATGAAGTGTCTTGTTATAAGTCGCTACTCGGCAGGTTGGAATTGTATTAGTCTAGTTCCTTTTGAAATAATTTATTTTGTTGCTTTATCTAAGTTTATGAAATTAGTAAACATATTAAGAACTCAGCTTATTAATTAAAGTAAAAGGTAAATGTTATTCCTAGTAAAATTTTCGCAGTGGAAGTAGTTATGTTTTTTTCATATTATACCCAATTATAAATATTAATAATTATATGTAATTATAATTGAGGTTTTGATTAATGAGTTGTACATTTGTAAAAAAAATTTTTTTAAACAATTAGCAATAAGATGTATATCGAAATACGTAAAACTTAAAGAGCTCAAATTTTTGATCACACTCTTGGTTAAACAATTAGGACCAGATCATATTCTCTAGATTATGGTTACCTCTCCCATATTTTGCTGGTCAAAAGGCTGATTTTTTCTAAAAACAACCATGTTTATTTTAGAGAATGTACATGTCTGATTCTGTAATTTCAAAATATCTTCGGCGCAAATCAATCAGCGTATTTAAGGTTTGAACTAGATGTCAGGTAGTTAGATGTAATTAAGATGGCATCCATCTACGTGAAAATACGATCAGATCCAGAGTTTTAAAGGAGGTCTATTCTTTTATATTGCGCACTATATATCAAAAAATACAACAAATTTAATACTTTTATTGCTGTTCTCCTTCATCTAAATTGTTTTCTTGTAATATGCCAGCAAAAATAGAAGTTGTTTCTATCCTTATTTACTTCTTTTTTACGTGTTTCAGATGTTAATAATAATTATTATTATTATTATTATTATTAAATAATGGTGATAATAATTAAAATAATTGTAAAAATATATTTAGTCTTTAAGACCCCCTTTTTTAATATAAATTTATTTTTTTCTTCGTTTTATTTTATTGAAATGTCCTCTTTTATTCTTTTCAGATGGTTAGTGGAAAGGTGACAGTTCACAGGGTGATATCCGAGAAAGACTACACAAATAAAGACTCTGTTAGCAAACTGGTTAAAGTCCTCTGCGACGAAATATTTATAAAAGAAATCAATTGAGTACGGGGTCTTTTTTTAGAACTTAAATTAAGATATTTGTAAAACTATTTAAGCATTAAAGATTTCTTTTTCACAAGCCTATTTTTGACATCATTTTAGCATCATATATGACATTTTGACATCATGAATGACATAAAAAAGATCAATAAATGGTATTTGACAATAACAGGTAATAACTTCAAGTTAGTACTGTGATGTTTTTTTTTTTTATTTTTTGGTTCCTTACCCGGAAGCTCCCAAGTCTTGGAGAATATTCTGCCACAGATCACAATACGTAAATCTTTGCCGAAATAATAAACGAAATATTTAACTAAGCTATTATAGGACTGATGAGATAAACTATATTTAAATAATTAAAACAAATTCTGTGTGATTTGGTTTAGTCGGTACATAATAGGAATATTTTCCTTATATTCAACACTATGTAATATTTTTTACATTTAACATGAGTCTTAATATTATATAAATTTAATTATTATTATTATTTCCATGATAAGTTCATATAGTCAATAGTATACTTCTATAGTAAATTCAAATTGCTATCAAAACAGCTTTTCTTACACAAGGTTAAGGTAAAAAAAATTATAATAAATCAATTTCTAAATTTAGTAAGTGTCTTGAAGAAACTTAAGTACACTAGGCACCTTTGGAAACCATCTTGGTTAACTTACAAGTTTATCTAGTACAATATATAAATTTTAATTGTAACCAAGCCGAATCCACGGCACAACTGTATTTAAATATTCTAATTCTTCAACCCTTCATCCAATCCTAACTCCGTAATTAGTTATAAACAATTATATTAACCAAATTTTTTCTCCCTCTACCTATTGCCCGCGGTTTTGCACGCACGGAAGTACTTTGATTTCAATTTTAACTATTTTCAAGAGATGTCCACGACACTGTCAAAGCTCTCTATGTACTGAATATTAATAATAATTTAAAGTCTGTCAAGTAGCCATTAAAATACACAAACCATTATAAGTATGATTTCCGTACATTTGAGCATAGTAGGAAACAGAAGTCATAAAATTATTTCTAGGCTATGGTGAAAAAACACTTTCGATTAGCCAACTCTAGAAACTACGAAATTTTTCATACACCTGCGTGCTAACAAAAAAGTACCAAGTTCATCAAAAAGTATTTGCACATTAGCATTTTGTACGAGATTTAAGCAGTGCTCCAAAATGCACAGCTTGAAGACACTTTTAATGGTCTGGCTAAATAATATGTTTCTCACTTATGAATCTAGAGATGAAATTTACAAAAATAATAAATGCTGATAATGAAATACTTTCCACAATGTTTGCACTTAATATTTGCTATTTATATACACATCGAGAAGGATAGTATCTTATTACAATTATTTAAAATTATGAAATTATTTTCATAAATTCAGGATTTTCGTATTTTCGAAAATAGCAGTTCTTTTATTACAACTGCAACAAAAATAACTTAGTTCCAAAAGTTGGTAGACGAACTATTTTATCACTTGTCCCATTCCATCTCTGTCGTAAGATAAAAATGGAAAACTCATTCCAAATGCTCCATTACGTGCTGTACTGCTTCCTCCTCACGCACTTTTCGAAGCCATAACTATCGTATATGCATGTTATAGCTAAAAGAAAAGAAAGCTCCGTGACCAATAATTGACATGACATTATGCAAAAACCTCGGCTATGTTTGAAAATTCTACAACCATTTCAAAATGGATCAAAAATTAACCTATACAATTACTTCGTAACTGAGTTTTTTTATTTTTATGAAAATGCAAAATTATTCAAGAGAAACACTTAATATACAACATACCAAAGTAAATAGACCATCCTAAATAACTTTTGATCTAACCATCTGCTCTTCATGTTTTAGGACTTAATCTTAATATTTTGAGGAAGGGGACCTTAAATATGCTCATTAATTAGTGCAGATGATATTTTAAATTACGTAATCAGACACAAAAACGTACTTTCTCTGTATAAACATGCCTTTTTTTTCAACGGATTCAGATTTCTGAGCCTCAAAATATAGGGGTTAGCCGCAATCTGGGAAATATGGTCCCTATAGTTTCGTCAGGAAAGTGATCAAAAGTTTGGACCTGTTAATGTTAATTTTACTTTTTGCCTATTTTGCAATATCTCAAGAACTTCTTAAGCGAATTGAAAATATTCTGAATTTTTGAAATCGAATTTTAAAAAAAGTGGCAGTTTTAAAATTAGATTTCTCAGGAACTAAGCTACCAATTTCGCTCAAATTTTGAATATTATCATGTAAAATTAGATACTTAAAATTGATGTAAAAAATTTTATACCTTGCAATTCAAAAACATTTCTTCGATTATTAAATAAAATAATAATAATAGACATTTACTGTTGTTGTTGTGGTTGGCCATTAAGGCAACGGGTGAGATTGATTCCAGTGGAGTCATCTATGGCCAAGAATTCGACTTCTGCTACACCCATACGTCACACTCATTTATAGGGCGGACCCATTCATGCATACATTCATTCATCTACAGATCGTAATTTTGACCTGAATTAGAGAACGATCAATCTCCAATTCAGTGGCCGCTGTGGCATAATTTGTCATAAGAACATGGAGGTCTTTGTGACCCCACCGATTTAATGTGCACCTGTCACCATCTACTACACGGGGAGTCTTCGACCGACTGGATTCGAAGTCCCGTTCTCACGAATGTGCAATAGATTCTTACTAAAAGTTATATTTTGCCTCAAATTATTTTTCGCTAAACGAATATTATAATTATGAGCAAAAACTTTTTAATTCGCTTAAAAAGTTTTTGAGATATGGCAAAATACGTAAAAAAATAAAACTATCATTAAAGGGTCTAAATTTTGCATCCTTCTCCTCAAATTAAGGGAACCATATCCCACATTACCCCCTACATCTCGGGGATCAAAAATCTGAATCAGTCGAAAAAATGGTATGCTCATCCAGAGATAGTCCATTTTTGTGCCTGATTTTGTAACTTAAAATATAGTCTATACTAGATAATTAGCGTGTTTGAAGTCACTCCCTTGAGCCATTAAGATAGAGTCCAAGAACGTGAAGATCAGATCATTAGATCAAAAGTTATTCAGGGTGGTCTGTTTTATTTAATTTTTTTTTACCCACTGTACAACTGTTATATATATATATATATATATATATATATA